AGACCATCAGCATCTACCAGTATTGCCCTTAAGGTAAAGGTAAAGTCTAGTTGTGTCCAACTCTGGGGGGTGGTGTTCATCTCCAATTTTAAGCCGAAGAGCTGGCATTGTCAGTAGACACCTCCAAGGTCATGTGGCCAGCATGACTGCAGGGAGCGCTGTTACCTTCATGCAGAAGTGGTACCTATTGATCTACATACATTTGCATGTTTTTGAACTGCTAGGTTGGCAGAAGCTGGGCCTAGCAGTGGGAGCTCACCCCACTCCCCGGATTCAAACCGCCAACCTATTGTCCTTATACCACAGTAAAACAACATTTTTTGAACTGATATAACCACAAATTTCATTTTTTTTAACCTAAAGAAGACAACATCCTAGGATAACTCTTAAAAATGACTGTCAGATAGCTATGCAGACTTTGCAGTCTATTCACTGCAGGTGGAAACAATTTCTGATCCTGGAATGCCTTCATGCTTCTTTGTCAGCATATCAAGAGCAAACAATTTGGTTTGCTGATGTGGACGGCAATTAAAGGCGAGGCCTCCACGTCGATGGCTGCATGTTTGCTTGTGGTCCGTTGGCCCATCCCAACTGGAACGGTTACACGTTGCAAGCCCCTTGTGTCATGTGAGTGGCAGGCAGCTGCTATCAAAGCAAGATTCTGTGAGCAGGAATGCTCCCTCTCCAAAGGCTAGCTGTACTTTTTAAGCTAAGCAGAAAGGAAACCCTTCTGCTCCACACTGAAGGCTACTCAAGCAGTCTTTTCCTCTGGATCAACTCAAATGTGTGCTGACTTTTCAGCCATAATGTGCACTGTGTAAACTGATGGGAATGTTTCCACCGTTTCCTTGTGTATTCTGATACCTGAATTGAGACTCTCATAATTACCAAAGGCATTTTCACCACAGTTACACTTCTCTGGCATGCCACTGTAAATCCTGTATCCAGTTATTATGAAGCAAGGCAAACTGAACATGAATTGAATAGGATCCCACTGTTAAATATGTCTAGTAATTAAGGCACTACTGCTATGTGCACTGAAGAAGATCACGCTTAAAAAAAGGTAAAAGTTTCCCCTGACATTAAGTCTAGTTGTGTCCGACTCTGGGGTGTAGTGCTCATTTCTAAGCCGAAGAGCTGGCGTTGTCCGTAGACGCCTCCATGGTCATGTGACCAGCATGACTGCATGGTGCGCTGTTACCTTCCTGCAGAAGCGGCACCTATTGATCTACTCACATTTGCATGTATCCGAACTGCTAGGTTGGTAGAAGCTTTGGCCAACAGCGGAAGTTCACTCTGCTTCCAGGATTCGAACCTCCAACCTTTTGGTCAGTAAGTTCAGCAGCTCAGCGGTTTAACCTGCTGTACCACCAGGGGCATGTGTATTTATTTTTTTAATTAGTTACCTACTTTCTCTTGTTAATATTAGATGCAAGGCAGCTTACAAAATACAACAACTAAAATAATAAAGCAACAAAATTACTGGAAAATCAGATCAAGTTAAGGTGCACAATTCTGCATGCCAGCCAAGGTATTTTGGTTTGTGCAGCCAAAAAAAATTATCTCACAGCCAACACTTCCTAGCACCTAAAAATAGAACAAGCAAAAATTAAATATTTAACAATTTGTTGTCTTTCATGACAACCACATTCTTTTTCCTGACTCAATTATTTCATTATACTTCATACTAGGCCTTCCTAAAAGAAACCCCGAATCTCCTATAGTTCTGGTTATGGAATACACCTGGCCTCAACAGACCAGACATGTTCCAAATAAATATTCAATAATACTACCACCTTGTAGTCCACTAATTCAGTGGTTCTCAACCTGTGAGTCCCCAGATGTTTTGGCTTCAACTCGCAGAAATCCTAACAGCTGGTAAGGTGGCTGGGATTTCTGGGAGTTGTAGGCCAAAACACCTGGGGACCCACAGGTTGCAAATCACTGCCTAAGTTGTCTCTCCGCAAGTGATTCCCTATAACACACCCACCCTCAGGCATGTATTTAGAAAGTAGGTATCCCGCTCTATGCTAGACGAGCTTTCCAAACTGTGTGTTGCAACACATTAATGTGTTGGGTGCAGTGTGCAGGTGTGTGATGCGAATGTAACAAGAAATGTGCATTTTTACATAGTAAAGATATGCTATTATTTTACAGATCATCTATTTAAAAATATATAAATAAAATGTCTAAAAAGTGTGTCATTATGAAATGTTTGGAAAGCTAGGCTCTATTCTATAAAAGCCAAGCACTTTACAGGTCAGTGAGGGGCAGAAAATGCACTTTTAGTCTGAACTTTAAGGTGCTGGCTTGGCTCTTCAAAACAAGTTCAGCTTGGTAAAGTTTTATTAAAACACAGAGAAGTTTCATTGCACCAATTATATTGCAATTCCTTAAAATAATGCTTCAGATCATGAGCAGCTGCAGTGATATGATAATCTTAAAAACCACTGAAATCCACAAACGTGGACAATTTCAACAGAAAGGAGGAAACCATGAAAATGAACAAAACCTGGCTACCAGTATTAAAAATAACTTTAAAATCAGGACAGTAAATAAAAAACAATACTTAGAAAACAGGGGAATTCCAGAAAGGAAACAATCGAGGCCAGCTAACACCTCCCAAACCAGGATTCCCCGAGCAGGAAGCAGCCAGGCTTTGAAACTGCAAGGCTCTTCAGTACTAATCAAGGTGGTCAATTGCAATATTCACACTTGCCTCAAGCAGACAAGAGTTCTTTCTCCCACCCTGGACATCCACAGATATATAAACCTAACTTGCCTCTTTTCCAATAGACCCCTCAACCTGCCATAGATGTGGGCGAAACGTCAGGAGAGAATGCTTCTGGAACATAGCCATACAGCCTGGAAAACTCATAGCAACCCAATCATAAAAACATGTTCATCCATGATCTGTGTAAGTATTGTGATCCAGTGGACATTCCATTTCAGGATTAATTGATGACCATGTATACTTTTCTTCTGTAAATGATATGTAAACATGCGACTGTTACTATGGAGAATTTTAATCTAATGATTTGGGGAGATAGATCTTTGTGCAAAGTAAGTACATATTTGGCATGGTAGATGTTTTATAGAAACATAGGATTATGGAATTGGAAGAGACTCCGAGGCCATCCAGTCCAACCCCATTCTCACAATCAAAGCCATCTGGCCTCTGCTTAAAAACCTCCAGAGGAGACTCAACCACACTCCCAAGCAGCATAGTCCACTGCCCAACAGCTCTTACTGTCAGCAGATTCTTCCTAATGTTTAGGTGGAATTCTTTTTGCTATCATTATTATAAATATTTCCCGCTTTATCTCTCCATGCGGAGACTCAAAGCATGTGTATTTATGTGTATATATTTGTATACACATAAATACATGTGTATTTATGTGTATATATTTGTGTATATGTGTGTTTGCATATATATGTGTGGTTTTGTGCATGTGTTGTAATGTATTTTAAATTTTTTTTTGCTTTTAAGTCTCTTCTGCTGTGTTTTTCAGCGTTTTTATGAGTGATGATCACTCGTTGGCCTGATATGTGCATTGTGTCCAAATTTGGTGTCCACTGGTGTTTTAGTTAATCTCACAAACGAACATTACATTTTTATTTATATAGATTATCAGCAGTATTATCTTTAATATATTAGTATTATTATATTACAATATTATTTTATTATATGTTATTATATTGTATTATTATTATTAGTATAATTTGATCCATTGCTCTGTGTCCTAGGCCCCTTCCACACAGCAAAATATATTCCCACATTACCTGCTTTGAACTGGAATATATGGCAGTGTGGACTCAGACAACCCAGTTCAAACCAGATATTGTGAGATTTTCTGCCTTGATATTCTGGGATATAGGGCTGTGTGGAAGGGCCCCTAGTCTCTATATCAGTGGTTCCCAACCCTTTTTTGGCCAGGGACCACTCTGACCAGGGACCACTCTCCAAAATTAGTACCAAAAGTGTTACAAATGAGTTTTTGGTCAACTTTAGATCCGGTTTGGTTATTTGGGGTGCTGATCCAGAAAATTGCACTGGATAGACCACATCAGCTCTAGTTCTGATACATAACATAAGCCATCCACTAGTTGCCATATTTAATAAGCCTTGGCACTATGAGTGGGTTTTGCAAGACCAGTCACTCTTGTTGCAACGGTGTAGTAATAGTGAGGCCACGGACCATATTTTAGTTCTTGCAAACCACTGGTGGTCCACGGACCACTGCTCTAGAACAACAGAAAACAAGCATGTCACTTCCTCAATGTGATATCCTTTCAAATATTTAAACATGGCTACCATGTTCCCACTCAGCCAAGCTAAACAAACCTCCATCCTTAAAGGATCTTCAAGGTAAACATAGCTGTCATCTCATTAGGCTTGCTTGGCCACATGAATGGGTTATGAAATTATGAGTAGAAATTAATAGACGAATGCGTAAGTGGCTATGCTCAGAGGTACTAGGATTAAAATGTAGACTGAAAGAACAGAGGAATTGTGGGAGTTGCAGTCCAAAACACCGTGAGGGCCAAAGTTTGCCCAAGCCTGATATAGAGACGACACAGTATGTGGAGAGCATCCTGCCAGTCTTTGTGACATCTCTTTAAAGTTAACTGGGATGTTTCTAGCATTGTTTCCATTGCTAAGTGTATTCGGAGAAAGAAAGAAAATGTAGGGCCCTTCCACACAGGCTGATATCCCAGGACATCAAGGCACAAAATCCCACAATATCTGCTTTGGACTAGGTTATCTGAGTCCATACTGTCCTATATTCCAGTTCAAAGCAGATAACATGGGATTTTCTGCCTTGATATTCTGGGATATAGGGCTGTGTGGAAGGGCCCATAGACAATAGCCTCAGTAGACCTCAAAGTATGCAAATATTTGGTGAAATCTTCAGCAAGTATGCAAAATAAGGAAAGCCCTACAGAGAACTCACACCTGCCCAAATCCGTGCCGTATGACGCAAGGAAGAAGCTCTTACCCAATAGGCCTAGTGTCCTCAATGGCTCGGTCTATGGGGATTACGTCACTCAGATAGACATTGAAATTTCCCTCGTTCCACCTTCTTTTGGCCTCGTCTTGCTTCTCATTTGGGACCACAGCGGGCCGCCCAAACTGACCTGCCGCATTGGGGTCCCTTGGGCCGAGTGTTTTGTCAATGCTGAACACCTTGTGCACTTTAGTGTTTTCTTTGAAATGGATCGCACTGTCGCTGTGATTGATTTTCCTTAATTGGTCTTGGTCGACTAAACCAACTGCATTGACATCCTTTAGTTCTTTTCCTTCCGTCAGACTTGCTTTTGGAGTCACTGCCTTAACAGTTGCTGCCTGGATAAGTCCGACAGCCTTGGTTGCATTAGCAATGTCTTTCTGGAGATCTTTGCTCTTGTCTCCAGTTGGCTTGATGTCCATTTCCATCCTTTTAGTGGTGCCAGGGTGGCCCTGATCCGTGGGGAAGACCACCCGGGCCTCCTCCTTGGTTATAATGACCACTGGATCCCTCGCCAGCACTTCCTTGGCTTGGGCCTTTTCTGGGCCATTCACTTTGGCCACCTTTCCTGGAGTTGTCAGTGTCCCCTTCACAGAGTCTCCTTTTGACTCTTTGCGGACTGGCAACTCCAAGCTCTGGTTTACACCATGGCTTTGAATAGTCCTGTTTAATGGAAGCTTGGCCTCACTTGCAACAGGAGGAGGACCGTCGTTTCGATGATCGGGCCTACTTTGGGTGGGAGACTTCAATCCAACCTCTTGTTTTCCCTTGGCGAAGGGTCGGCGCACGTTCAAAGAGACGTCAACCTTGGCGGTAGTCTTGCCGTGGTCCACTTTGGCCTGAGGTTGCCCTTTTGGCATTGCAAAGTGAGGTTCCAGAGCTTCACTGGGAAGCGGTGGCGCTGCTTGCTTGGAGGCCACCACCTTCTCCTGCCTTTCAATGTGCTCCATTTGGATGGGGGTGGTCCTGTGTGGCCTCTCAGCGGGGGCTCCTGGGGGTGCTCTGTGCCAGCCCTTCTCCACCTCTTGGTCCTGCCCTTCCTCCGCATCCCTCCTGCCCTTCCACCTCCCCATCCTTTGGGGGTCCCCCCTGGCCCCCCTTTCCAGGCGGGGCCCTTCTCCTCCCCCTCCTCCCCCTCGGGGCCTCTCCCTCTCCAGCCGGATCCTCTCATCCCGCAGGACGCGGGTGTTGATCTCGCTGAAGGAGAGGCGCAGGGCTGCCATGTCCAGCAGCACCCAGAGGATGGAGGCGGCCAGGATGAAGGCGAAGGCGCGCCCGCTCCCGCGGAAAAGCCTCCGGAGTTTGTTCATCGCGGGGCCGGGGGCCTGACGGGACCTTGACTGGCAGCCTCTCCCCGCCTGAGCTGCTGCATTGAGCCGGGCGAGGACGAGGAGGAGGAAGAAGAAGAGCCTGTTGCCTTTGCTTGCGTGGCAGCTTTGCAGCCCGGCACCCGCGTCTCCTCGGCTGAGACCTTCCCTGGACTTTTCTTCTTCCTGCCACTTCTTTCAGGATCAGCTGCACAAGGCTCTCTCTCTCTCTCTCTCCACCTTCTCCTCCTGCTTTTGTTGTAACCCAACACTTCCGACGAGGACGCCAACTTGCAAAACTTCTCAGTTGCACCTTCCCTTTTAAGCCAGCGCCTTCTCTCCCTCCCTTCCTCTTCCTTCCTTCCCTCCCTCCCTTCTTTCTCTCTTTCCTTCCTTTCTCTCTCTCTCTTTCTTCCTTTCTTCTTTCCTTTCTCTCTCTTTTTCTTCCTTCCTTCCCTCCTTTCTATCTCTTTCTTTCCTCCCTCCTTTCTTTTCTCTCTCTCTTCTTCCTTCTTTTCTTTCTCTATTTTTTCTTCCTTTCTCTCTTCTTTTTCTTTCCTTTCTCTTCCTTCCTTCCCCTTCTCTCTCTTTCTCCTCCTTCCTTCCTTCTCTCCTTTCTCTCTCTCTCTCTTTTCTTCCTTCCTCTTTCCTTTCTCCCTTACCTTCTTTCTCTCTCTCCTCCTTCCTTCCCTCCTTTCTCTCTCTCTCTCTTCCTTCCCTTTCTCTCTCTTTTCTCCCTTCTTTCCTTTCTTCCCCTTCTCTCTCTCTCTCCCTCTTCCTTCCTTCCCTCCCTTCTCTCTCTCTCCCTCACTCTTCGTTCCTTTCCTCCCTCCCTTCTTGCTTTTTTCTTTCTTTCTTCCTCCTTTCTTTTTAAAACTTCACTCCACCCGTGAGTCACTTCGGGTTCGTGGCTGCCTTGTTGTCAAGAGATAGTCCCGCCCTCCTTCCTCCGCCCAGCCAGTCCCTCCTGGAGAGAGAGAGAGAGAGAGAGCGGCTTTTCCTGGAGAAGGCAGGAGAGTGACACTTGGCTGCGGAAGACGCCTTTCCTTACTTTCTTTTCTTTTTTATGATTCTCTTTTCTAGCTGATTTTAACGCCCATTCGTAGTTAATACACCCAGCTACAATCAGCCCATTGAATCAGTGACACTGGTTCAAGGTTGACCAAGCTGGAAGGTGTCCAGAGAAGGGTGACTGAAATGATCAACGGTTTGGAGCATGCAAGGAATGTTTGTGTGTCAACTGTAAAATAAGAAGCATCAAGCTGATTGGTAGGGCAATGCCAGGGGAGCAGGCTGAGCCTGGGACTTTTGGATACTGTTACATTTTTGTTCGGGCTTGAGCTGTGCACAGGCCCGTAGCCAGGATTTTGAGTTTTTTTCAGGGGGTTTCGGGGGGGGGGGGCGGAGTTTCGGGGGGGGTGAGACTGAGTGAAAGAGGGTCTACCCTAGCAAACCTTTTGTATCGTTACCCCAATACCCCCATGCATATGGGATATATTGAGTATGGTGATCAGATCATGATATGAATAAACATAACAGTTTAAATAATGCACCAGTAAGGTCTTTTCGCGAACCACCATGAGAATTTCCCTCAAGCCCCCCCCCCCCCCCCCGCAGCTACATGCCTGGCTGTGCAGGTGCAGAGACAGAAGCAGAGAGTGACGCAGTTTGGTATGTGCTCTTACTTCATGATCTGCTAGAAAGAGTTTCTCCACATGAACAAAGAAAGACCATTTTAAATCTCTCATAAAAGGATATTTTGTGAGTTGATGCAACCGGGCACATTGTATATATGTTCTGAACTATGAAGAATAAAGTGCTTGTTCTCTATTAGATGACCCTTGTAGTCTGTTTCAATTCTATGACTCCCAAGTGTCAATTTATCAGGTTCCCATTCATGTAATATATCTTATTCCTGTGGAGCGACTTGAGAAACTGCAAGTTGCTTCTGGTGTGAGAGAATTGGCTGTTTGCAAGGACGTTGCCTAGAGGACCCCTGGATGTTTAACCATACTGTTGGAGGCTTCTCTCGTGTCGCCACGTGAGAAGCTGGAGCTGACAGGTGGGATATCACCCCGCTCCCCGGATTTGAACCGCCGACCTTTCAGTCAGCAGTCCTGCCAGCACGAGGGTTTAATCCGTGACTACATGGGAGCTGTAGATTTACAAGATCTTGAACTTTTTCTGGCAAAGTGTGCTGCTGCCTTGCCAAAATACAACTCCCAGGATTCCATAGCATTGGGCCATGGCGATTAAAGTGGTGTCAAACTGCATTAATTCTGCAGTCCAGATGCACCCACCCACACTGTCATTGGGAGCAGCAGAGGCTGCCATTCTGTGGTGTTGAAAAAAAATATGCCAGGGCTGTCCAGTAATAACTCTCTGAAAAGTGGCTGCCCAAAATAAAATAGAGTGGATTTTAGCCAGTCCTCCATCAGATGAATGAATTATTCAGATTGAGTGACGGGGGATACCCTTGCTGTTAAACTCCGCTTGCACATTATGAATCATGAAACATTTCACAGCTGGGAATGGCATGGTCAAATAGGCCCACCGTAAACTTTGCCTTCTGCTTTTCCTGCTCCGCAAATATGAAATGTGCAGGGGTTTGTTTGAACAGACTAGCTAAACACGAGACAGGAGCATTTATGGGCATGAACGGATTAATTAACTCCGGACCACTCTAACATTAGAATAATATTGTGGGTCAGTCTCACACTGACAGGGAAATCTCCTGCTTAATAATGCAGGAGGGTTTCTATTCTTTCTCTTTTTAAAAATGCAGGACCTTCGAAAAGGTTGTAACTCTACCCTGCTGAAGATCTGATGCTTTAGCAATACAAGGGAGGTTCTTTAAGTAGATTCACCACTGCTAGGCCACGCATCTTAAAATGTCATTTAAACCAGAGGCCTGAATTCAAGTTGTTAGTCCCACAGTGCATCTACTACACCAGGCACGGGCAAACTTTGGCCCTCCAGGCATTTTGGACTTCAACTCTACCTGGTGTTAGAAATTGTGGGAGTTGAAGTCCAAAACACCTGGAGGGCTGAAGTTTGCCCATGCATGTATTATATATTTATTTATTTCGGACATTTGTATCCCGTCCTAGCTTGACCTCCGCAGAGGGACTCAGGACGACTAACAACCGGCACACCATGATGCCCACAATCAAAAGCATAAATATACAATTGAAATAAAAACAATATAAAAATAGTATAAAAACATTTGAACAGTTGCCAATTTAAGTCATCGTCCTAAAAGCGGTCCGTCAAGTCCATTAAAGCCATCGCTTTGCCAGCAGGTCAGCCTAGTCTGCAAAGGCCTGATCTCATAGCCAGGATTTCACTTGTTTCTGAAAGGTCAGGAGGGATTTTGCTTGGGAGGGAGTTGCACAGCTGAGGGGTCACCACAGAAAAGGCCCTGTCCCTTGTCCCCACCAAATGCGATTGTGATGAAGGGGGGGACAATGAGCAGGGCCTCCCTGGATGATCTTAGGGTCCTAGGTGGATCATAGCAGGAGATACATTTGGACAAGTAAACAGGGCCAGAACCATTCAGGGCTTTATAGGCCAAAGCCAACACTTTGAATTGTGCTTGGAAGCTAATAGGCAGCCAGTGGAGCTGGCGTAGCAAGGGCGCTGTACATTGCTCTGGTGGGCAACCTGGCTGCCAAGTGTTGGACTAGTTGGAGCTTCCGGGCAGTGTTCAGAGGCAACCCCATGTAGAGTGCATTGCAGTAGTCTATTCGGGATGTAACCAGAGTGTGGACCACTGTGGCCACTGCTGAATGAATACACTTTGACATTGCTTTAACTGCCATGGCTCAATGCTATGGAATTCTTGGAGTTTTACTTGGTTGTACTATTGGGCAAAGAAGGCTAATGACCATGTGAAGTTGCAGCTTCCATGAGTCCATGGCACTGAGGCATGGCAGTTAAAATGGTTTCTAACTAGATTAATTCTACAGTGTGAATGCACCTCCTGGCTCTACCAGTTCCCATAGAATAATGGGTTGACCTATGACCTGATACACCATTCAGCCATTGATTCAACAGGTCTTGCTTATCTGGGATTAATCTATTGAATTTCAGCCTAGAGAATGTTTCACTTTTTTCCTGGTAGTACCTGAAACCGGCACCTGGCCGCATTCTTTTCAAAATCTTTTTTTATTTTACTGTTTTGTTTCTTTCATGTCAAAAGAACTGCATAAATCAACGTATAAAACTGATAAGACAGAGGGAGCACAAGCGGCAAAATAATTTTAGACCAAAAATGGGCAAAAGCAACCACATTGTCTGTAGCTTTAAACAGTTTTTCCTCTGTGCATAACGCAGGGCGGTGTGGGCAGGCATACAGATGCAGAGTTGTTTGTTCTGCTCCACAATCGCACAAGGTGGAGGATACTTCTAGGTAGTGCCATTTTGCAAGGTTGTCTTCTGATCTGCCCACTCTACTTCTGAGACAGTTCAGGGACTTCCAGGTTGCCCATTCTTGGTTTGCCCCTGGAGGAAGACCCTCGTGGGGGGGCCAACCAGGAAGAAGAGAACCGTGCACCACAAAGCACCCCACTAGGCCTTGCTGCGAACCTTATACTTTTAAACTTTAGGACTTCCAAAGGAGGCAAGTAGAGGCCCGTAAAGAAAAAAGGAGGAGAAGGAACCCTAGAAGGAGGGCTTCTAGAAAGCCACATGCCTGAACGCCTCAGCCAGGAATTCCACATTCAGATTTAAAGAAGGGCTGCTCATCTTCTTTTCTGCTCCGTGTTGCTACCCTGCATAGCCACGCCTATCACTATGTCTTATTTTCAGGGTATAGCTTACATTGCGCAAATGCTTAGAAATCCTGTTATGGCTTATTTTATGGGTGGGTCTTATTTTCAGGGAAACACGTTATCAACTAGCAAGGCAAAAACATGTTCCCTCTTACTTTATATGTTAACGACATCATGGGTTTGTTTCATTATTTATTGCTTTGTTACATCATTTATTGTTTGTTATGTTATAGCAATGCTGTTGTTTCATTATCTGATGCCTATCACTGATGTTTCTGGAAGAAAGGGAAGGTAGAAATCTAATGCAAAAAGAAATAACTACAAAAGCCATAT